ACTATATTTCTTCTTAATTTTCGTTTTAAGTATTAATTTATTTAGTAAAGAAATTAATTCTAGGACTGTAAAAAAATTCTAAAGGGTAAAAATATTTAGAAAAGGAAAGTAAATTGAAAATTGAAATTCGTTGATGAAATTACACTTTTGGTTTTTTTTTTCTTTCTAAATTCAGTTCGAGGCCTGTTATTATTATTTTTAATATTAATATCTAATAGTAATTAATTAATATTAATTATTGTACACTGAAAAAAAATTATGTGATTTAAATAACCGAATACTTAACTATTGACAATTAAATATTTGTAAATATTTTTATTTATAATTAATTTATTATTCATTATTTATTAATTTGTAATTAATTTATTATTAATTATTTATTAATTTGTAATTAATTTACTATTAATTATTTATTAATTTGTAATTAATTTACTATTAATTATTTATTAATTTGTAACAGTTAATTAGTTATTTCAATATTATTTTTATTATTATTATGGAATATTAACATAAATTGTATAATATTGTTACACAATAATTAATGATTGATTGGAATGATGACATTTCTCTTTTTACTTTACTTTTCTTTTTATTTAATTTATTATTATTATGGTATAAATTGTTTTCGTTTAAAATGTTTTTCCTTTTAAAATGGAGATTAAATTATGAGATGTCCTTGTTTTTACGGTTATAAAATTGCATTATTGAGGAATATTACGAGAAATCGTTTGTCGATTTTTTTTTCATACGTGGGAGGACCGAGAACCCGGTCTCCAGATATTTGCGCAATCGAGAGTTCAAGCACGGTCAAGTGGCTTCGAGCCACTCAATTCTCAGCGCATGATTCAGGCCATTCACATGGCGGACATAAATACGCGGATTAATTTTTGCACTAGATCTTTCTCTCTCTCTCACTCTCTCTTTCTTTTTTTTCTCTCTCTCTCTTTCACCCTCTCTCGATATTATAGCGTCTGGAAGCGATGCGACTGCAATTATCCTTTAATCTTCTTAGTCTTAAATTGACTGATTCAATTTTTCGTCTGGCAATATTATTTTTCTTGGGAAAATTTTTTAGTAAAAAAAAATAGGTAAAGTAATTAGATTTTTTTTTAAGTTTAAGTTTTTTTTTCTTTATTTTTTTTAATTTTAATCTTTCTTTATTTATTTTTTTTTATTTTAATTTTTGTATTTTATTGTTTATTTATATATACAAAAAAATTTAAATTTATTAAATATAAAATATTATATTTAATAAATTTTAATTTTTATATTTTTCTTTTGCTATTGTATTTTTTATTTTAATTTTTGTATTTTTGTTTGTTTATTTCTATATTTTTTTAAATTTAAATTCTTGAATTTTTCTTTACTTCATATTTTTTTAATTTTTGTATTTTTGTTTATTTTTATAGATTTTTAGTTTATAACTTTTATATTTAAAAAAAATTAATTTTCGTATTTTTCTTTACTTTTAGAAATATTTTTTTGAATTTTTGTTTATAAACATTTTTATATTTTTGAATTTGTATATTTTTTTAAATTTGAATTTTTCTTTACTTTCATATTATTTTAATTTTTGTTTACTTTTATATTTTTTTAGTTTATAACTTTTATATTTTAAAAAACTTTAATTTTCGTTTTTTTCTCATTACTTTTGTATATTTTTTTTAATTTTAATTTTTGTGTTATTGTTTATGTTTATTTTTATATTTTTTAATTTTTTTAATTTTATATTTTTTTATAAATTTAAACTTTTGAATTTTTCTTTACTTTCATATTTTTTAATTTTTGTATTTTTGTTTATTTTTATAGATTTTTAGTTTATACCTTTATATTTTAAAAAAAATTATTTTTTGTATTTTTTTTATTTAGAATATTCTTTTAAATTTAAATTTTTGTTTATTTTTATAGATTTTTAGTTTATAACTTTTATATTTAAAAAAAAAAATTAATTTTCGTATTTTTCTTTACTTTTAGAATATTTTTTTTTAATTTTTGTATTTTTGTTTGTTTATTTTTATATTTTTGAATTTTTGAATTTTAGAATTTTTATATTTTTATATTTTTAAAAATTTTAATTTTTCTTTATTTTCATATTATCTTAATTTTTATATTTTTGTTTATTTTTATAATTAATAACTTTTATATTTTAAAAAAATTTAATTTTCGTATTTTTCTTTACTTTGATATTTGTGTTTAATTACCTATAATTTTTGTATTTTTAGTTATTTTTATATTTTTTCAATTCAATTTTTTTTACTATTTATAGTTCGTGCAGTATTTACTATATATGTTAGAGTAGCAAACGATTTGACAGTATAAAAATACTGGTTCGAAAAGTTTTTTTTTTCTAAAGTGAAATATATCTTTGAGAGGCTTTTAAAGTTTTAATTATAAACTCTCAGTATTGAAATTTTATAATGCACTATATATAAATGAAAGCAGTCTTATCTGGTTTAAAGGGTCTTCTGTTCTAAATGCTATTAATTGCTATCTACACTTTCGAAGAATTTATTTTCAATTTTTAATAATTTGTAAAAAATAAATTATTATCCAAAATATAAGGTATTCTTAATTTTTAAGATAATATATTTTTTAATTTAAGATATTCATCTAAATAAATTTTTGTCAACTGAAAAAAATGATTTTTATCGAAATTATTGGAAAAAATAAAAGAGACTTTTTAATATTATAAAGATAACTATTTTCATTTTATTCAATTTCTGAGAAAGTAATTATTATCTTGTTATTTGAGAGAAAATATTTTTTATCGGAATTATTTGAAAAAATAAGAAAAAATTTTTAGAAATATTTTTCGTTTCATTTAATTTTTGGAATAATAATTATTTATCTTGTAATTTAAAAGTAAAAAAAAAATTATTTTGAATTTATTTATTTATTTAAGTAGTAATGTATTTTTATTCTAAAAATTTTTTCCAACAGAAAAAATTATTTTTTATTGGAAAAAAAAATGGAAAAATTCTGTCTTTTTTTTATTTCTTTTAGTTAACAAAAAATATGTGAAGAATTCTTGCTTTTTCTTTTATGTAATAAAAAATTAAATAAACAAAAATTCTTTCTTTTTATAGAATAAAAATAAAAAACAGGAAAAATTCTTTTTATTTGTTATTTTCTTTATATAACAAAAAAGGAAAATTTTTTTTCCTACATAACAAAAAATTAAAAGAAAATTCTTTCTTGTCTAAAATAAATTGAAAGAGAAGAGAAAAAATTTTATTTCTTTCCGAGGAAAATTGATTTTTACGAAAGAACAAGAAAAACAGTAACAACAACAGCAACAACAAGGACACAAAAAAATGTGTATAAAGAATTGTATTTATATATACTGAGAAAACAGTAGTTTTGAAAAGAATGTTGTCGATCATTTGCACGATGTGAATTTTTTCTCTCTCTTTCACTCGATCGCGCTCCTGCTTCCCACGTGCTTTGGATTCCCGATGCAATCGAACGGCAATCGAATGAGATTAATACCCTATGTACCCACCTACTTTGACCCGCAAGCCTGTAACAGGCGTATACACACTACCTACAAGGAGAACTTGCTCTAGAACTGTTCATAACACGTGCACAACACGAATCGAACGGACGTTTCGAATCGACTTGTCGTCGTCTTCGTCGTCATCTCCTCTATGGGAACGAGATGTTCCTTGTGAATATCGTCATTCTTATTTACATTGTCGTCTATCTTGTATTTTTCATTTTTCGGGTTGTGCGAAAAAGTTGTGATTTTAGTCCCAGTGAATCGGTTCATAGCAAAAAGAAGAAGGTCCGTTTTCTCTATTTTGTTTTTCCTTTTTTCTTTTTTCTTTTCCTTCACATTTTTCCTATTTTTTCTTTTTTTCACTTTTCTCTATTTTTTCGTTTTCTTCACTTTTTTCTATTTTTTCTTTTTCTCCACTTTTTTCTCAATTTTATTTTTCTTTACTTTTTATTTCTTTTCCTTCCCTTTTTTCAATTTTTCCTTTTTCTTCACTTTTTTGTAAACTTTTTTTACAATATAAATTTTTTTGGCGTAAAAAAAAATTTGTAAATAACTGAAAAAAAAATAAAAAAAAACAAAAAATGTTTGCATTTTTCTCTCGGCGCCAAAAAACTTTGGAAATATTTGGAAAAAAATTATATTGATATTGTTTTTTATTCAGATATTTCCAAATTTTTTTCGGCACCAAAAGAAAAATGCAAAAAATTTTCTTTTGGCTTCGAAAAAAATTTGGAAATGTCTGGAAAAAAATTATATTTGTTATTGTTCTTTTTTCAGATATATTTACAAAACTTTTTCGTCGACAAAAGAGAAATGTTTACATTTTTCTTTTGGTGCCAAAAAAAGTTTTGAAGTTTTTCGTTTTAAATTCAATATTGTTTTTTTCCAGCTATTTCCAAAGTTTATCGGCGTCAAGAGAAAAATCAAACATTTTTCTTTTGGCGCCGAAAAAATATGAAAATGTCTGGAAAAAAATCTGCTATTGTTAAATTTTTTTGTTAAATTTTTTTGGCGCGAAAAAAATGTAAAAACATTTTTCTTTTGGGGACGAAAAAAATTTGGAAATATCTGAAAAAGGAACAATAACCGTATAATTTTTTTCCAAATGTTTTTCGAAGCCAAAAGAAAATTTTTTGCATTTTTCTTTTGGCGCCGAAAAAAATTTGGAAATATATGAATAAAAAAGAATAGCAATATAATTTTTTTCCAGATATTTCCAATTTTTTTTTCGGAGCCAAAAGAAAAATGCAAACATTGTTCTTTTGGCGCCGAAAAAAATTGGAACAAAAAAACAATAACAATATTTTTTTTCAGCTATTTTCAAATTTTTTAGCGCCAAAAGAAAAATGTAAACATTTTTCTCTCGGAACTATTTGGAAAAAAATTTGTGTTATTGTTTTGTCAATATTATGAATAAGAAAAAAAGGAAAAAAATTATTTTTTTTTGTCAAGTTGATAGTGGAAATTGTGGGCAGTGTTTAATTGTTGTCAATTTTTTTAGGCGCGATCCGAGGAGCATCTGGCACAAGAGCAAGCTTTTCTGGCGTCCGAGAGAATTTGGCTTTTGCATCGAGGTGGATTCACCCCGGCGACGAAATGTGGTCCTGCAGATCCAGACACTGGAAAATTGAGGGTTCGTTTGATTCCCACTGGAGAGGAACTCCTCGTCGACGAAGAGGACGTCGAAAAGGTATAATACTGAGCTAAAAATTTTTAATTTAAAAATTAAAATTCAAAAATTCCATTTTTGAAAGATTTACTAATGAATGAATGAATTAATTAGATAATCTTTATTAATAAGCGTTGTATTCCGGTAATTTTTTGATTACCGGATTTCTGTTTTAAATGTTTTCAAATTTAAAATTAATGTACTGAAAATCATTGAATTTTTGCAGAATATTTATATCAAAAACTTTGAAAATAATTGAATTCATTTCAAGAATTTTATATTTTTATCGCCATTTTTTTTAATTAATCGAATTCTTTCGAGAAAATGTAATTAAAATTGAATTGGAAATAATTTAATTCTTGTCAAGATTTTTATTAAAATAATTGAATTATTTTGAAGAATTTACTTCAATTTTCTTGAAAATAATGGAGTTTTTTTTAAATAATTTTTACTGAGAATTTTTAAAGTAATTGAATTTTATAAAGATTTTTTTTGTATTTTATAAAATAATCTTAAATATTTTTAATTGAAATGAAAATAATTGAAATTTACAAAGAATTTTATTCAAAACTTTTGAGAACAATTGAATTGTTTAGAAAAATTTTATTACAATTTTTAAAAATAATTGAACCTGTTAGAAAAATTTTATTAAACTTAGCTCGAATAGAATTAAATTTTTTCTAGAAATTTTAATAAAATTGTAGGATTGAAAATAATTGAATTTCTCGGAAGAATGTTATTATTTACAAAAATAATTGAATTCTTGTCAAGAATTTTACAATTTATAAAAATAATTGAATTGTTTCGAAGAATTTTATCAGAATTGATGAAAATAATTGAATTTTTATTAAAACTCTTGAAAATAATTGAATTTAAAAATAATATTTTTAAAAATAATTATATTTTTTCGAGAAATTTTATTAAAATTTTATTGAAAATAATTGAATTTCTGTGAAACATTTTCTTATTTATAAAAATAATTGAATTCTTACGAAGGATTGTACATTTCATTAAAATAATTGAATTCTTTCGAAGAATTTTACATGAATTTTTGAAAATAATTGAATTTTTTGAAGGAATTTTATTAAAAATGTTGAAAATAATGTTTTTGTTAACAGAATTCCATTCAAATTGTCGAAAAAAATTGATTTTTTGTTTAAATTCTTGAAAATAATTCAATTTAATTAATATTTTTGAAAATAATTGAATTCTTTCAAAGAATTTTATCTGAATTTTTGAAAATGATTGAATTCTTTTGAAGAATTTTATTACTTATGAAAATAATTGAATTTCTTTGAAGAATTTTATTATTTATAAAAATAAATTAATTCTTGCGAAGGATTTTACATTTTATAAAAATAATTGAATTCTTTCAAAGAATTTTATCTGAATTTTTGAAAATAATTGAATTTTTATTAAGATTGTTGAAAATAATAGAATTTCTTTGAAGAATTTTATTATTTATGAAAATATTTTAATCTTGCGAAGAATTTTCTTATTTATGAAAATAACTGAATTCTTGAGGAGGATTTTTTAATTCATAAAAATAATTGAATTCTTTCGAAGAATTTTATCTGAAATTTTGAAAAGAATAATTACATTTTTTTAAGGAACTTTATTAAAAATTTTGAAAATAATGTATTTGTTAAAAGAATTCCATCAAAATTGTCGAAAATAATTGAATTTTTATTAAGATTCTTGAAAATAAATTAATTCAATTAATATTTTTATTAATAATTATTGTATTCTTTCTAGAAATTTTATTAAAATTTTTTTTAAAAATAATTGAATTGCTCTAAAAAATATTATTTATGAGAATAATGAAATTCTTGGGAAAATTTTTATTAAAATTTTTTAATAAAAGAACATTTAATATTATGTACTTAATATGTGAATTCTTTAATTTTTAAATCTGTAATTATTCAGAAATTTATAATTCTTGAAATGATTCCTGAAAATAATAAAATTTTTTAATTTACAAAATTTGCTAGTTAATTGAATAATTAATTAAGAATAATTAGAAGCATAATTAATTAATAATAGTTAATAGTATAGTCAAGTAGTAATAATGAATAGTATAATTAATTAATAATAATTAACAGCATAATTAATTAATAGTAATTAACAGCATAATTAATTAATTAATTAATTAATTTTTTTGTGTAAAAATAGTAATTTGTAAAAAATAGTATATTAATAGTATGTTTAATTAATTATTAATTAATTATTAATTACAATTAATAAGATAATGAAAGAACAGTTATGCAATACAAAACTGAAAGTTCCATTTCGTCCTTAATCTTAGTTTAAATATTGAATTGGCAAATATAGAAAAAGTATAGATAATGGCAATATAAATTGATAACAATAAATCTTTCAGGCGAACCCACCTCAGTTTGACAAGGCGGAGGAATTATCACAACTACGCTTTTTAAATGAGTCTTCAGTCCTTCACACTTTGCGACAGAGATATGCCAGTAACCTTATTCACACTTACGCTGGAGACAATATGGTCGTCATCAATCCTGTTGCTCCGCTAGCAATTTACTCGGAAAAGGTGAGGTGTATACGGGATATTTTTTTGCTCCCCGTTTCTTTTTTCTTTCCTTTTTTCCTTCTTTTTTGCTCCATTGAAATGATAACAATCGACAAAGATTTATTTCAAACGAAACGTTCATCAACTAAATGGTTTATTGTTTAGAACTATTTTTTTTTACGTTTCTTTACTATATTTTCAAATATTTCCAAATACTGTCGACTCTCGATAATTCGAAACACAGGCCGTCTGACATTTGTATCCTTACTAAATGTAATTCGATAATTCGAAATAACTGTTCGAATTATCGAGAGTCGAGTATATAGATAAACATAAATTGTAAATTGAAATCCATTTTCAATAAAATATTTTCAAAGAGAAAGATTTCTAATTTGTACGTTGATGACTTTTCAGGTGGTTCAAATGTTCAAAGGATGCAAGAGCGAAGACATGCCGCCTCACATTTACGCCATGACACAATCGGCTTATAGAGGCATGCTGGCTACAAGACGAGATCATTCGCTTGTTTTCCTTGGACGAAGTGGATCTGGGAAAACTACAAACTTCAAACACGCTTTGCACTACCTACTACTTGCTGCTGGAACAGTTAATAAGGTACTTGACCCAGATTTAATTCAGTTATGTAAGATTTTTTTTGTTTGTAAATTGCGGGACATTTTTTTTCGCTTGTAAAATTCGAAACTAAATGAGGCTTAAAGTTCAGAATGTTTTTAAGAAAGAAAAATTAGAAAATAATTCTTTTCTTTTCAATTTCTTCAATTTTTTGCAACCAGAAAAAAAGATGTACTTGACTCAGAACCTAGTAAATTATTTATTTGTCTCAAATAAATTCTATCTGGTTCAAATAAGTTCTATTTTGTTCAAATAAATTCTATTTTGTTCAAACAAATTCTCTTTGGTTTAAATAAATTTTATTTCGTTCAAACACAACTTTTATTTGGTTCAAATAAAAATTTAATTTGTACTGAAGAAATTACTTATTTGAAATAAATTAATAATTTAATAGGCTCTGTGACAAATAAACATCTAGAAGAAAGATATATTCGACTCAGAGTCAACTAGATTATTTATTTGTTTCAAATAAAGGTTATTTGTGGTCAAATAAATTTTATTTGGTTTAAATAAATTTTATTTGGTTTAAATATATTTTATTTGGTTCAAATGAATTTTATCTGGTTCAAATAAAAATTTTGTTTGCGTCGAATACACTTTTATTTAACTCAAAAAAATTATATTTGGTTTAAATAAAATTATTCTGTGGGTGTAGATACTTTTATTTGACACAAATAAATTATATTTGGTTTGAATAAAACTTTTCTCTGCGTGAATTTGAAGTCAAAATAATTATTTTTTCGTTTTTGAAAACAGTGCAAAATTATGTCGCATTACAACGTAAATTTTTGCCAGAGATGATCGCTTAATCAATTTGGTTTAAAATTCTCAAATTTTTTTCCTTTGTCGGAAAAATAATTATTTTTGAACTTGTTTTTTCTTTTTACTAATTACTAATTAACAATTGTTTATTTTACAGATTTTGACATTTGAGAAACTCAATGCTCTGTTTACTGTTCTTGAAGCATTTGGTAACAGTCGAACGCACATGAATTCAAATGCTACTCGTTTCACTCAACTCTTCAGTCTAGACTTTGATCAGTCAGGACAAATAGCTTCCGCCTCTCTTCAGGTAAGAATTCTTCGATAATAAAAAGCCATGAAGTTGAAATTTTTATGAAAAATTGCAGAATTTTTGTATTTCAATTTTTAACAATCGAATTCTCGAAAAACTTTTGGAAAATTTTTTAAAATAAATGATGTAGAGAAAAATTTTAATTAAAAATTTGGAAATTTTGAAAGTTCAGAAGGAAGATTTTTAAAGTAGTACAAATTTCTGAAAACAATTAAATATTCAAATTTCTGGACAATTCAGTTTTTCGAAATATTTCAATTGAAATTTTCTTGAAAATGTAGTTGAATTTATTTTTAATTTTCTGTAATAAATTGAAAAATTTTTAACTAACCGAAATTTCGTAAACTTAATTAAAAATAATTGTATTTTAAGTAAACTTTTTCTTTTATTTCTAGAATAATTCAATTCTCAATGAAATTTCTGATAATAGTTATTAAAAATAATGGATTTAGAAAAGAATTTGGGTTAAAAATTCTAGAAAATAATTGAATATTGTGAGAGTTATAGTAGAAATTTTAAGAATTTGGGTCGAAAATTCTAGAAAATAATTAAATATTGGAAGAGTTATAGTAGAAATTTTTGGAAATAATTATATTTCAGAAGGTTTGAAAATGCAATTTCGAAGTGTTTGTATTTTGAATAATTTTAATTTAAAAATTCTAAATTTTGTTCTCTGAAAAATTTTATTTCAAATTTTTCTTAAATTATTTAATTATTAGTAATTTGTTCAGAAATATTCAATTTCAATTTTGAATAATCGAAATTTCGTAAAATTTAATGGAAAACAATAGATTCTTTTTTATTTTGAAAAATACACGTATTTTAAGTAAATTATCTATTTTTTTAATTAATTCAATTCTCAAAGAACTTGATGAAAATTTTTTTTAAATAATTGATTTAGAAAGGAATTTTAGTTGGAAATCTCGGAAAATAATTGAAATTTTGAGAAGTTAGAGTAACAATTTTTAGAAATAATTAAATTTCAGTCAGAAGGTTTCAACTTTCTTTTTTTTTGAAAATTTCAATTTATGTTGAAATAAATAATATAATATTTATTATTTATTTATTATTATTAATATTTTAATAATATAATATTTATAATAATATTTAGGTATTTATTTTAAAAAAATTAATTAACTTTCAAATAATTTTAGTTGAAAATTCTAGAAGATAACAATTAAATGTTAAATTAATTACAGTTGCAATTTTTAGAAGAAGAATAAAATTTCAGAAGCTTTGAAATTGAATTTTTAATTTTAATTTTTTTAATTTAACTAAAACATTAATTTATTTAACAAGATTATTGAAGTTTGAATAATTGAATTAAGAAATTTAGAAAAAATGAGGTTTTCGGAAAATTTTTTATTACAATTTTTTTTATGAATTTAATTCCCGAAATTAATGAAATAAAAAATTGTCAAATAACTGTAAATTTCAATTCTATTTTCTGATTTTTTTATTAATGATTTATTTTCATTTATTGAAATTTTATTCAAATAAATTTTATGTTTTGGAGAATTTTATTATAATTTTTCTATCACGATTATTTTTAAATCGTGATTTTGAAGAAATATTTTTAAATATTTGAAAAAATGATTTGAAAATAATAGAATTTTCCAAAAACTTAGAACTGCAGTTATTTGAATAAGAGAAAGAGTAAGAAACTTTTCTGGAAGTAAGAATAAAATGAACGAATTTGTTCGTACATTAAATCGACTACAACGTTTTTTTTTTTGCGTCTTGAAGTCGTTCCGAGGCCTGTAATTAAAAAAAATCTACTGAAATTGTTTACATAATAACTGTTAATAATAAAATAATAATTGTTTACTTAAAAAATTATATAAATCTGTTCCGATTAAATAATTTAATTTGGGGAAAAATTAAATTGTTCAACAGGAACAGATTTGATAAAATATTTGTTTAAAACATATCTGTGTATTTGTATATTTTGTATTAATTTATATATTTCATATTAATAATAGTTTATTAATTATAGAAATTAAAACTGTGAAAAAATTAATTAATTTAAATAGATGAGAATTTTAGTAGAAAAATAATAAAAATTTTCTCGTCACAGGTGTTGCTGTTGGAAAAATCGAGAATAGGAAGAAGAGGCAATGGAGATCCAACTTTTCACGCAATTTACAGACTTCTCGCCGGTGCGGAAGGCGCATTGAGAAAGGAGCTTCACCTCACGAATTTGGTGGCTGAGAATAATCCATTTATAACGCCTCTACAGAAACACGAGGACAAACAACGCGCAATGGTGGAATTCAATCGAATTGTTGCGGCACTGAAAATTTTGGGTATTTCGGAAATGGACGAGAAGGCAATTTGGTTGACATTGGCGGGTATTTATCATTTGAGTTGTGCGGGCGCCGTGAAAGCTGGTACAAGTTCGCAAAGTCGATGGCAATTCGCGAGGGTTGAATGCACAGAGAAAGCAGCCACCTTGCTGGGAACGTCAGTTGAAGAACTTAGTCGTGTTGTATTTTCTTGTAACGGCGGAGGTGGCACTCCAAACACTCCTAGACCCACTTTGAGAACGCCCAGTCCAACTGATCAAAGTAAAGACGTGACAGGACTTGATGCACTTGAAGGATTTCTCATTGGTCTCTATTCTGAAGTATTTCATTGCGTTGCTGCTTTGATCAACAAGTAAGTTTTACAGTCAGGCGTAATTTGATCGATGATGCTCGATTTTTTGTTTGTGTATTCTTGAGGAATATTAACTTACGATTCTTTACTAGGAGATGAATTTCTCAATTATTTTTATTATTTATTTATAATAGTTACGCGCGAAAACGCGGTATTTTAATTATTATTTTTGCAAATTAACAAATTTTTTATTTTCAAGTATTAATTTATATTTTGGAATAATTTAAAATTCAAAATTAAAAAAATTCAATAATTTAGAAATTACATAGTTATTATAATTATTTATTGTTTTCAAAAACTTTAATAATATTCTTCGCAGGAACTCAATTATTTTCAATATAAATGTAATTAAAATCCTGGAAAGAATTTGATTATTTTCTCAATTTTTAATAACAAAATTTTTAGACAAAATCCAATTGTTTTAAAAAATTTGAATAAAATTCTCTTCCTAAGAAATCAATTATTTTTCATAAATAATAAAAATTTCAGAGGAATTCAATTATTTAAAATATTTGAATAAAATTCTTTGAAAGAAATTAATTATTTGAAAAAAAAATTTTTTATTTTGTTTATAAGAACTTAATTTTCAATATGAAATATTTCGCAATAATTCAATTATTGTTGTAAGTTTTAACAAAATTCTTTAAAACAATTGAATTATTTTAAAGAAAATGTTTGGCAAGAATTCAATTTTTTTTACAAACAATAGATTTATTCGTAGGATTTCAATTATTTAAACAAAATTTTTATAAAAATCGTTGCAAGAGTGCAATTATTTTCATATATTTAATTATATTTTTCTCAGGAATTCAATTACTTAAGAAAAATTTAATCAAATTCTTCATAAAAATTCAATTAATTTGAAAAATTTTGATTAAATTCTTTATGAGAATTGAAATATTTTCAATACAATTTTAATTAAATTTCTCGCAAAAATTCAATTATTTTCGAAAATTTTCATAAAATTCTTTAGCGAGATTTCAATTATATTCATAATTTGTAAAATTTTTCGCAGAAATTTAATTATTTAAAATATTTGAATAAAATTCTTTGAAAGAAATTAATTATTTAAAGAAAATTTAATAAAATTCTTCATAAAAATTCAATTAGTTTGAAAAATTTTGATTAAATTCTTCATGAGATTTAAAATATTTTCAATACAATTTTAATTAAATTTCTCGCAAAAATTCAATTATTTTCGAAAATTTTCATAAAATTCTTTAGCGAGATTTCAATTATATTCATAATTTATAAAATTTTTCGCAGGAATTTAATTGTTTAAAATATTTGAATAAAATTCTTTGAAAGAAATTAATTACCTATTTAAAGAAAATTTAATAAAATTTGTTTGTAAGAATTTAATTTCCAATACGAAATAATACGTAAAATTTAATTTTTGTATTAAATTTTAAAAATATTCTTTAAAACGATTCAATTACTTTCAAAAATATTTCGCACGAATTTAATTATTTTTACAAATAATAGATTTCTTTATAGGAATTCAATTTTTTTGGATAAATAATTAAATTTCTCACAGAAATTCAATTACTTAAAAAAATTGATAAAGTTCTTCGCAAAAATTCAATTATTTTGAAAAATTTTGATTACATTCCTTATGAGAATTGAAATATTTTCAATATAATTTTAATTAAATTCCTCGAAAAAATTCAATTAAATCATGAAAATTTTAATAAAATTAATTTTCAATTATTTTCATAATTTTTAAACTTTTTCGCGGAAATTTTATTTTAAGGAATTTTAACAAAATTATTTATGAGAATTGAATTATTTTCTTAATTAATCAAATTCTTCGCAGGGATTTAATTATTTCAAAGAATTTTAATAGAAGTCTTCGCGAGATTTTTATTATTATGAAAAATTTCAATAAAGTTGTTTATAAAAAAGAAATTTAATTAAATGGTTTGGAAAAATTTAATTTTTTTCCTAAATAATAAAATTCTTCGCAGAAATTAAATTATTCTCAAAAATGTTGATAAAACTTTATAAGAATTAAAAAATATTTTTAATATTATTTTATTTAAACTTTTCGTAAGAATTAAATTATTTTAAAAAAATTTAATTAAATTTTTCGCGAGAAATTGAATTATTTTGGAAAATTTGGATAAATTTCTTTAAACGATTTCAATTATTTCAGATTCAAAATTATAAAAGAAATATTTTTAATTGTAAAACAATTTGATTTTAATTAATTTTTGGTATTATAGGTATTCGCTTTTACTTTTGTATTTAGTTTCCATTTCTTTATTTAATTTTTATTTCTTTATTTAGTTTCTATTTCCTTATTTAGTATTTATTTCTTTATTTAATTTTTCATTTTTTGGTTAGTTTTCATTTCTTTACTTTCTTTTCATTTCTTTATTTAGTTTTTATTTTTTAAATTACTATTTGTTTTTATTTAACCCACTTTCTTTTTTGTTATTTTTATTATTCATTTTTCAACTCCATTTGTAATTTCTGTAATTAAAAATTTATTTTTTTCGTCAAAATTGAGAGAACTGAATAAATAAACAGTAAAAGGAAATTATTTATTTGTATTTTAATTGTATAAAAGTACGTAATTAATAGTTTTAAGGGAATTTGTAAATTTTTAATTTATTTGGAGTAATTTCTTTATTTAATTTTATTTATTTATTTATTCGTTTTATAATGTTTACTTATTTGTGTTAATTTTTCAGGTCGATATCATCTCCGGTGCACACGGTATCTTCACTTCTTCTTTGTGACGCTCCTGGATTCCAGAATCCAGCATCCTGTGGGCGACAAACAGGAGCAACGTTCGAGGATTTATGTCACAATTATCTACAGGAACGATTGCAACTTCTCTTTCATCATACAACTCTGGTAGCACCTAAAGACAGGTAAATTTTTAATTAGAAAATTTTACACAGAGGACAATTTTAATTGTAATTGAATTTTTTATTTGAATTTTTTCTTAGTGAGTTCTTTCAAAATGTTTTTTTTTAATAAGTTTGTATTTTTAGTAAAATTTAAACAAAATTTAATTTTATTATTATATAAGAATATTTAACAATAAGATTTAACAATAAGAATTTTTCAAAAATAGTAACTAAATTATGAATTCAGATTTTTAGGAATTAATTAATTCGTGAAAAATCTGAATTTTCTATTTAAAATTGTGTGAAAATAAATTATATGAATTTTAATAATAAATAATTAGTTGACTCCAGTTTTTTTTTATTGTAATTTGGACTTTTTCCACGACTCCAGGTACGTTCAGGAAGGAATTGACGTTGATTATGAAGATGACTGCGATGACGATGGACTGGCCTCTCCTCAAGCCCTTGTTTCATTGTTGGATCGAGGAAGTTCTCAAAGTGCAACAATGTTGAGAACAAGTCAAAGTGATTTAAGCAGCATTAGGCAAATGGAAAGGAAAGGAGTTCTTTGGCTTTTGGATGAGGAAACCGTCTGTCCTGGAGGAAGCGATGAATCCTTTATGGATAGATTATTCTCCCATTACGGCGATCGAGGTAATTAATTCCTCTTTTTGTAAATTCAGTTCTTTATGGGAATTCAATTCTTTGAGGGAATTTTTGCAGAAGATAAAAATTGAAAGACTTTATTAAAAGTTTAAATTAAAGAAATTAATTCGGAATTATACTACAATTAGAAAGAAACTAATTTGGAATTAGAATTAAGTCAGAGAGAAACTAATTTGGAATAAGAATTAAATCAGAGGGAAACTAATTCGGAATTAGAATTAAATCAGAAAGAAATAAAGTAGGAATTAGAATTAAATCATTAAGAAATTAAGTAGGAATTAGAATTAAATCAAAAAGAAATTAATTCGGAATTAGAATGAAATCAGAAATAAATAAATTAGAAATTAGAAAGAAATCAGAAGGAAATTCATTAGAAATTAAAAATTAGAACGAAAATTACCGATTAGCGGCAATTATGTAGCAATCGTGCATTTTAAGTAATTATGTATTAACCAAATTGAACCAAATTAATTTATTTAACAGTTTATATTTATTTAATTTTAATTTATTTAACCCAATTTGTTAACAAAAAATTTTATTTTCAGATCATCAGATGCTACTGAGGAAAGCACCGGGCAATAATCAATTTGTCCTGCAACATTTGCAGGGTACAAATCCAGTTTTGTATACGGCGACAGGTTGGATAAAAGCGACGCGTGAAAATCCAGTGGCAAGGAGCGCCATTACGATTCTTCAGGAGAGCACTAGGTAAATGTTTATGCTTTCTTGCAATTTACCGAAGACACTTGGAAACACTTCTTATTCTTTTTTCTTCATTTTTTTCGCTTCTTTTAGGGAAGACGTCAGTAGACTGTTTGTTTGTGCAAGAGGAGCCGGAGTTTCCGGTGCTTTGAGTGGTTCTGTCCACGGTTTGGAAGGCTCCCAATCTTTGCGAAGGGCATCCAGCATCCGCCGAACATTCACTGCAGTGAAGAGAAAAAATGTCTGTTTACAAGTGAAATTCACCGTGGTAAGTGGAGATGACTGTCAATATTGTTCAAAACTCATAAAATTGCAATTTGTCCCCTTGTCGTATCTTTCGAAAACTTTTTTTTTATTATTGACATTATTCTTCTCTTCTTTCTCTTCTCTTCTTATTTTTGTCTTTTCTTCTTTTTTTATTTTTGACTTTTCTTCTTTTCTTATTTTTGCCTTTTTCTTCTTTTATTCTTTCTGTCTTTTCTTCTCTTCTTATTTTTTTCTTTTTCGTATTTTTGTCTTTTTCCTCGTTTCTTATTTCTTTTTATCTTATTACTGATTTTCGAATTGAAAATTTATCGAATATTAAAATAGATAATATTTAATATGTTTTTATAAAATGATTATTGACATAGTTCAAAGGTTATGCTATCGACAAAGACTTTGTTCGATTCTGACAGTGAAAATAGAAGTGTGCTTAAAAGCAGAATGGACAGTGAAACGTGTTTGAAGATTTTTGTTAATTTTCTTCTTTTTCTTACACTTGTTCTACTTTTTATTCGTTTCTCAGTAATTTGACTTGATCTTTCATTACGCAGACGCTTATTTCTTAAAATAACGAACTGATGACAAATTTTTCTCTTGAAAAAAAATTCTACGACTTTGAGAAGATTTTAAAAGAGAAAAATTCTAAAAAAAAGATTCTGAAAAAAGATTCTGAAGAAATATTCTAAAATAAAATATTAAAAACTGTAAAAGATTGATAAATATTTTCCAAGACGATTTTTGGGAATTTATTAACTCTGCTTATTGAATTCATAACAAAAATTCTTTAAAAAAAAGAAATTACCAATATTGTACTCTGTCTAATTTGGCTGAAATCTTTTAAAAATTGTATTCCTGATATTCTAGGTTTTAATCGTTTTTTAATTTCTATTTCAGGATGGTCTCGTGGAAACGTTACGAAGAACAAAAATGAAGTTCATTCATTGCCTTTTACCCCAGCATAATGCGGGCTGCACTGACAATAAAAGTATTCTTTCTGTAAAATCTAACCAAAGTGAAGACAATATCATCAACGTGCCTCTTCTGCGCTCACAGGTTTTTACTGAATTTTTATTTTCAAATATAGATTTCAAGGAAGTAAACGAAAAATATTGCCTTAATTTTTAAAAATATTTCTTTTAATTTTAAGTAGTAGACTTAAATCAGCTTAAATTGTAGATTAAATGAATGTAAATTAAATTTAAATAGTAGATTTAAACAGTGAATCTGAATACAAAATTAAAATAGTAAATTTAATTAAAAAAAAACATAAAGACATTTAAATAGTAGATTTAATAGTCAATTTAAATAGAAAATGTATATAGAAAATTTTGAATAGGAAATTTAAACAGTAAATTTGAATAGAAAATTTAAATAGTTAATTCAATGAAAAAAAAAATCAAACAAACATATTTAAATGGTAGATTCAAGTAACAGATTTAAATAAGAAATATTTTTGAAATAATGTTTCACTTTTTTGAAATTAAATTTGCAAAACATTGTACAGATAATATTTTTAATATTTCAGATTCGAGGAGGTCAAATTGTTGAAGCCGTGCGTTTACACAAAGTTGGCTTTCCAAAACACATGCCCCTTGGAGAATTTAGACGGAGATTTGGATTACTCTCGAGTGACGGAAACATTCGGCCAGGAAGTCCGGTTGCCGATGAACGTCGAGCTGTCGAGGATATGCTTCTATCTGTGGACGTGGACCTCGCATCGTATCGCGTCGGACAGAGTCAGGTTAGTTTCTTTTTCAATTTTTAATCATCAACTTTTTTTTCTCTATTTTTCTATATTTTTAATCTTTGAATTATTTTCGAATTCTTTGATTCTTTAAATTATTTCTGAATTCTTTGATTCTTTAAATTATTTTCAAATTCGTTTATTCTTTAAATTATTTTCGAATTCTTTTATTCTTTAAATTATTTGTATTCATTGAATTTTACCGAAAGAGAAAGAAAAATTTGAAGTTAAATAATTCAAAATTTATAAATAATTAATTCATCTTTATTTTGTTATAAAACATGAAGAAATCGATCATTCCGAGTCTTCGACTCGGACTGATCGATATTTTCATGTTTTATAATTTAAAATTTAATTTAAAAATTACCAACTGAATTTAACTTCGATTTGAAAAATAATTTCGATTTAATTTTGGTAATGAAGGGAATAAATAATGCAGAATAGGAATAGGAAGAGAAAAAATCATTAACTAATTGATGAAGCAAGTAGAAAATTATAAAAGGAAGATTATTATGAAAACTTGTCAGCAATGCGATTATATCGACTCACGATTTGTTTTCACATGACACAGCAGTGGTGATTTATTAAACAAACCGCATGTTGATGTTAAATAAAATTAGCGCGAATTGCTTGTTTGCGAGAGTATTCCTCTTTCTCTCTGTAATGTCAGCATTAATGATTGAAGGAAAGATTTTATACATTTTATATAAGAGACTTCTTTTTCATTTTCTTTTCTTTTCTTTTTTCGAAAGGAGAGATAAAAGAAATGTTCTTTTAATGTCTCCATGAGGATATATAACACCTGTTTAGTGTGGTCATTAAAATTGCGAATACCTTTAGGCGCACAAAATCGGAAGCACACACACGCATTGAGTGTATCAGGAGAAAAAGCAAATGTTACTTTCACTAACGAATGAAAGAAATCGCTGATGGGTATTCTGAGAAAAGAATAACGGTTCTTGGCGAAGATGCGAATACGCGGAAGAGTTTTGCGACAGATGTAAATTCAAATCTATGTACGAGAGTAGAGAGAATATTTCTTTTTCTTTTCTTCAACTTGTATATGAGAGAGTCTGTTATAACATGATGTTGAAATCTATAGTGTCCTGTGAGAATGATTGTGGTTTATTTTTATTAGCTGTTTGAAGAGTTTGACTTTTGTTGTTCGAGATGGGTGTTCACATACAAGAGAGTTATTTTTTAACTTTGAAAATTTCTTCTTCTTCTTCTTTTTTATGGGCGATAAATAATAAACTTGAATTTCTTGTCGACAAACTAATTTTTGGTTATTGATGATTTTTTTTAAGCTGTCTTGTAGAAGGAAAATTATAATATATATTGTTATAATTATATTATAAATTTATAATATATTTAACAATTTTAAATAATTGAAAAAATTCGATTGCTAAAAAAATTGCTTTGGCAAAAATTTAGATATTGAAGCAATAGAAGAAAGAAAAAAAAAGTAGAATAGAAAATCTAAAATGTGGGCTTCGTACTCGTCTATTAAAACTTACTATTTACTACTTTCTTTTTACGATTTTACAATTCAAAAAATTTTAGTAAAATTCTTTCAAATTTATATTAATTTTCTTTTCAAATTTTCGAAAATTTTTCGAAATTCAATTATTTTCAATATCTACTAATTTAATAACAAATTTTCCAAAAGAATTCAATTATTAAACAAAATTTTAATAAAATGCTTACCAAGATTTCAATTATTTTCAAAAATTTTTTAAAATTCAATTATTTTTAATATCCACTATTTTAATAAAAAATTTCCCAAATGAACTCAATTATTAAACAAAATTTTAATAAAAATTCTTACCAAGATTTTAATTATTTTCAAAATTTTTTCGAAATTCAATTATTTTCAATATCTACTATTTTAATAAAAAAACTTTCCCAAGAGAATTCAATTATTAAGAAAAATTTTTAAAAATTCTTACCAAGATTACAATTATTTTTATAATTAATAACATTTCTCGAAAGAATTCAATTAATTAAATAAAATTGTAATAAAAATTCTCGAAAAATTAAATTCTTTTAAAAAATTTAATAAAGTTCTTAGTAAGAATTCCATTATTTAAAAAAATTTGATTTAATTTGTTTATTAGAATTTAATAATTATTTTCAACACATTTTTAATGAATAACTTCTTAAAAGAATTTAATTATTTTAAAAATTTTAATGACATTCTTTGTAGAAATTTAATTAATTTCAAAAATTTCCCAAAAAAATTCAATTATTAAAGAAAATTTTTAATTAATTAAAATTTTTACCAAGATTCCAATTATTTTTATAATTAATAATATTTCTCGAAAGAATTCAATTATTTAAAAGAAATTTTATTTAGTTTGTTTATTAGAATTTAATAATTATTTTCAACACATTTTTAATGAAAATTCTTGAAAGAATTTAATTATTTCAAAAATTTTAATGACATTCTTTGTAGAAATTTAATTAAATTCAAAAATGTTTCGAAATTCAATTATTTAAAAAAAATTTAATAAAATTCTTACAAAGATTTCAATTATTTTTATAATTGAATTTTTTTTTAATAACTGTCGAAAGAATTCAATTATTTAAAAAAATTGTAATAAAATTTCTCGAAAAATCCAATTATTATAAAAAATTTAATAAAGTTCTTAGCAAGAATTCAATTATTTTCATAAGTTACAAAATTCTTCGGAAAAATTCAATTTTTTTTCAAAAACTCTTATAAAATACATTCGATAAATTCAATTATTTTCAGAAACTCTCATAAACTTCTTTTGGAGAAATTCAATTATTTTCAAAATCTCTTATAAAATACTTTAGAGAAATTTAATTATTTTTAATACGCAATTTTAATTAAATTCCTCGTATGAATTTAAATTTTCTTTGATAAAATTGAATTTGTATTTTTACAAATTTAATTTTTCTATTATTTTTATCTAGGTATTATTTTCATAAAATAAATTTTCACAAGGATTGAATTATTTTTATTTAGTTTAGATTTTCTATTGTATTTTTCTTGAATTCTCATCGAATATTGGAATTTTATCGCTATTCACTTTTGATATGGGTTCGCTGACAGTTTTAATGATATGTATATATAAAAACGGGTATTAATCGCAAGGAAAGTTACTTGCCGCAGTGAAAATGGTTCCTCTTTTGCAATTTATGTAAATTTGAATATCGCACAGCAATCAATATGCAAAACCGGTAGAAAATTTCTCTTGTGAAAATTCTCATCGACAATTTATTTTAATATTTATTGAAATTATTTTATAGGAGGAAATAGGATTTATGAATTTTAAGACTTTGATCTTTTTTGGTACTGATGGGGAGATATGGTTTTGTTTTTTAAATCCCGAAGTCTGACGAGATTGTCTCGTTTCTAATATTTCTTTATTCGCTTCTCTTTTTGTACATTTTTTCTCGTTCTTTTCTTTTTCTGTTTTTTCTCTTTTCCTTTCTCTTTTTTCCTTTTTCTTTTATTTCCACTTTTTTCTCTTTTTTCTCTATTTTTTCTTTTTTCTATTCTGTTTCTTCTTTTCTTTTCTCTTTTATTTTTCTTGTTTTCTTTTATTTTCTCTTTTATTTTCCTATTTTCTCGTTTTCTTTTCTTTTTTCTCTATTTTTTTCTTTTGTTTCTTTTTCGAAGCCACTCAAATCAGAGTGAGGATTGGTTTGGTTCATTGACTTCTTAAATATCCATTTCTTCTTTCTCTCGAATATCTCCTCGTCACTCTTACTCTCCCTTTGGTTCTTCATTTTATTTGCACTCGCAATATTTCTCTCCAGGTTCTCAATGCAGTTGAAAACTAGTTCTTTCTCGTACACATGGATATAAAAGCAGTAAAGTAGACTTAACAAGGGGATCGTTTTTATTGACTACCGTGTCCAATGCCATATTCGCTCAGCCATGTTCTCCGATTGTGTTTAACCGTTCCAATGTTTTTTTTTATTGCTTTTTAATGTAACATTATAGACGTTAATTTACCCCCTTTCTCCGCTGATTATCAATCTCGAATGTTTGTGCCTTTTTTCTCTTTTCGCATTTTTTTGGTAAATCGACTTATTGATTTTAATATTTGACGCTTTTTCTTTTCGTACTTCTGATAATAAATTTTTCAAATAAAATAATAGGATTTTTGAAAAATAAATTTATCTTATTTTTCGATTTTAAAAAAAGAAATATTTTGCAATGATTTTTGTAAATTTTGCTTCGTCCTAGTGTATTTATATTTCAAATTAATTAATAATATAATTAATAATTAATAAAATTTCGTTCTAACAAATTTCTCATTAATTAATAAGTCATCAAAAAATTTTTCAATAATTATTTTATTTCGGCAATAATTGTTTATACGTTTATTTTTTTTTAATTCGTAGAAACTATAAATAAAATATAGGAAATAGAAATCTTGAATTGAAACGTGTTCAGATCAATCTTTCATCTTGATTAATAAAACATTTTGTAATTCAGGTGGTGTAATCGAAAGCTATTCTTCCTGGATGATGACCCCTTCGAGACTCTTCTCTTTCTCTCTCGAATAACTTACTAGATCATTGAAGATTGCGTCTTGATTTTCACTGATCATCACTTAATTATCCAATAGTGCTTCCTTGAGCTTCTTTTTAAATATCTGACAGCACTTAATTTTCTTCTATTCGCGTGAAAACCGTTATCAACTAATTGCCGTTAATTAGAGATAATAATTAAGAGCTTGATTCAATAACGTTTCTCTCATTTTTATCACTTTTCTAGAATGAATAAATAATCATTTTTAGAATTCTTATTTTTTTTATTCTACTTATTTTACTATATAGGTATTTATTCTATTCTACTTATTTTACTCAATTAATTTATTCTACTGATTTTACTAAATTTATTATATTTTATATATTTTATTAATTTTATTTATTTTATTCTATTTTATTTGTTCTATTAATTTTACTCCACTTATTTTACTTTATTGAATTTATTCTAGTGATTTTACTAAATTTAT